GTTAGGCAACCTGAAATCATTACACTGGCTTACATGTTTAAATCAGTTCATGTTTAGCTGTATTAGTATACATTCAACATTACCATTTAGTATAATTACTTTAAAAGAAGTTTATTTCATAAACATATCATTTATTTTAAAGATCAAATAATCAGAATACAAAAGAAACAGGTTTTGAAAAAATTGCTAGATCTTATCAGTTTACATGCTGATCAATAACTGGGTCCTTTTATTGAATGCCAGAAATATTTGAGGAGACAAAAGATTTAAAAAAAAAAAAAAGCTTAAAAAAATTAGAGTTGTTAGCTGTATTATATAAACACTCTGCAGTAACAGTATCAAAAAAAGTATTCAGACTGAGTTATCAACATTTTTTACATTCCTCAAGGACAGCTTTTTTTCCCTTTTCAATTGCACACACAGAGTTGTTGGCAGTTTCAGATTATAGAATATACATAAGTTAGAAAGGCAAGAAACCCAGCTACAATGAAAACTCCTATGTAGTTTTAAACAATGCTTTCCTACAAGAACTGGATAAGTTTCTGTTAAAAAAAAAAAAAAAAGTTTTAATGTCTCTATACAATTTAAAATTCATATGTTCAGCAGTCTCTTCATAGCTTTATATAACCTATATTCTTCATTTTCTTTACACAACCTCAGAGCAGGAGAAAGTACAAGAGGAACTATCATGCCTGCAGTAATTTCAGCTATGAGATTTTCAATTCTGTCCCCCTAAAAGCAGATCATAAGCAAAAGAGTTTCATGACCTAAGCTTTGAGAAACCAAGCAATGAAATAAAACTTTTCATATTATTTTCTCCTCATAAGAATGATTAAAGAAAACAATGTCTGTGCTACTTACAGTTCTAGTAAGAACACAAGAGTTAGCTAAAGTAGTATATAGAGCTGAGCCACTGAAAACTGTGTCCATAATGCAATTAACACACTGGCTAAGAGAGTTTAGTACAGCTTAGGTTGCTAGGAGTTTAAAATGGGCAAGCTAGTAAGATCTAAAGTTAAAAAATTAGGAAACTAAAATCATCAGCCTCAGCACGCAAACTTCTTAAGAATCAAAAAATATCATCTGTATGCTTCAAAAAACAACAAAGCTGAAAGACATGAAATAACAGGATATTTTTAATCATTGAGATTAAATCAGTAGATCAGTATGTTTACATCATCTTTCAGTACACTGCAATTAGCAGGAAATAGCAATCAAGAACAAATTCTGAACATCTTTGACGCCTTCCAGATTCTTTCTCCTTGATGACAGAACTAACACATAGAAAACAGAGAAGAAAAACCCCAAAGTATGCAAATTCCAGAACAAAACTAGAGAGTATGCCTGATTTAAGAGGGCTAGGGAAGTTGTCTCAGAAGAGAAAGTAACAGCAGTTCAGGGATATCCCCATCCCCCTTGCTCTTTTGAACTACAGCCCTTCACTGAATTCAGAATTATGTATATTGTTCACCCTCAAAATCCCATCCCAAATATGATGCAAAGTCAGATTAAAGTAAACCTCTGGAAATGAGCTAGTGTTGTTTTTTTTTTATATCTTCACTGTGTTTTAATTCATCTCTTTACATTTTAGAACCTCAAAAAACCCCATGAGAACTTCTGTGACATTGGTTTTGTGCTTCTGTCCGCCCTCTGCTGTCTGAAATGCAGAAATTAATACTATTCCTAGAGTGCTATAAGAAAATAACCACTGTTACATACAACATTTAATCACTGCAGTTTCATTATTAGCTAGAAATCAAGTGAAGAAAAAGGAAACAGAATTAGAAGACAAACTCGCTCAGTGGTTCTGCATTAGCACAAAATCCTACAATACCTAGAAGATGCAGCTTTCAAAGCCACACATTTTCAGAAATCTGTATAATATTATCCACAGCAGGAACATAACAAATTATGGCAATATACAAATATTACCAAAAATAAACTTGTTGTTTCTTGCAATAATTATGAAAACTATCTTGAAAGCAGTTTCTTAAATAGTACTGGTTAAAATAGCCAAGAGTTATTCTGTAACGTGGAAATGCCTTTCTGCTGACAGCAGGAGCTACATCCACGCAGACAGCTTTACTGCTTTTGAACTCCAAGAAAGTGCCTTACTGCACTTTGCATCCACATGGAAAAGTCTCTGGGTTACTTTAAAACTCAAAGTCTAGATCTTGACTTCTGAGTACTGTCGCCACTCTCACTCAACTTTGCTTCCAGGGCTCCAATGAAATTTTTCAAAACACAGGCCGAATGAGAAGAATTTCCCTCTCCTCTGCCTATGCAATGAGGAACCTAAACATGTGATGATTTTCCAGCTCCAAACCAATTTGCCAAGGACAGACACTTAAAATCTGTTTGATACACATCTGAATGTCATCTCCGATAATACATAATATCATTTAATTCTCATATTATTGCTGAGTACAGCAAGGAAAACTACAAGCTTGTTGCCATCCAATTTTCCACTGAGCATCTACCGGAGGCGTACGATATACAGGTATCAGAGAATGCTGGCAGCATTATCTGATAACGTAAGTCAGGTCAATGTAATATTTTTAGCTCAGAAACAGGTGAGAAGGACAAATTTTACGTAATCTAGCCAAAAGGTCCTTAAAAATAAATTGTTTGAAGCAGGTAGGAGAGTCAAAAGTAGAACCGGCAGAAAAAAGTTTAAGACTCTCAGTGAAGAGCTCGTTGATGCTTAAGCTTAGTCTAAGTGTCAGCTGATTACATAATTGCTGTTCATACTAACAAAGGTCTGTCTAGATTTATATGGTGTAGATGCAAGTTCAGTAAACTTATTACCAGAAAAACAAGGTGGATTTACATGTACTCCTGCATAAATACGCTAGCACTTCTAACCAACTTACTGTTATCCTCGAAACTGAAAAGGATTATAATATTCATCTTTTACATATTTGGAATGGAGCTTATACCAATAAATTATATAAAATATTTGGCTTTTTAAAAGCGTTAAATAACCTATGAAAAAAAATCGTTTTCATTCCCAGTTTCTTTTTCATATCACTCTCACATTCTTCAGCGTGTTTTGACCCATCTCCACTTGGAGCAATAGTCTCCCTTTACCAAGCGGTGTCCTTGAATTTGTAAAGGACACTGAAAAGATTCACATTAATAATATGTGCTGCGGTCCTGGGAATAAAGAAAGTGAATCTGTGTAACGCTGATTTACATTCTTCATTATCTTCTAAACCATCCGTTAATTTGCATTAATGATGATCTTTCATTTTCTCACTAGTTCACAGGAGAAAGAGGCAATAGGAATGATGCTAAGAGCCCCAGTTCATCCACTGCTGTAACTGCACTGGATTTTTTTTTTTTTTTTTGGTTATGAGTTGCAGCAGAAGGCATTTAACAACAACATAACTCCTCCATTTCTTCCTGGCATCCACTCAACATAAGGGAGCTGACAGCAAAGAGCTCTAATCCAGGAGAGATCAAGAAGGGATTCATACTACTCATTCAGATTTTCTTTTCAAACTGCATTTCCCCTTTAATTTGTCATTAAGCAGGAAAAGTTACCTTCTGTAACTAAACACTTCCCACATGAGAGCGAATCATCTCCCCGGTTATGTAGGATAATAGCTACAGGAAAACAACTGGGGAAAAATACCTTCCTGCCTTCAGTATACGGTACCAATTGCTGGATTACCATAACTAGTAATAGTTGAAATCTCTACTAGAGATAAGAGGGAATGAAGATAGTGAGAAAACATCTGTCATCCTGCCTCTCACACAATTAATTAGTAATTTTGGTAGATTTCATAACAATTTCTCCAAATATTAAGTTTCTTCAGTGAATAGATCACTCGTGTCACTCTAACGCTGAAGTACAAGGCAACATATATTTGATATCTTCACCTGTCTTCAGTACAAATGGCACTAAAACATTCATTATATATTACATATTATCAATTCAAAAATCTACTCCATGCCATTGCTATACATGACCCAATCAAGTCAGAAATAGTTGCTCTCACATTTGGAAATATTATCCCTGAAATTCTCCAAAGGCGTCATATTCAATAACACACATGCAGAAAGTCCCATTCTGCCATTGCCAACACATATAGTACTCCTAAACTAAAGACCAATTCTTCTAAGCAGAGAGTGTGTTCAGACAGTGCGACAGAAGTCTACAATGGGTAACAAAGAAAACTGTCCTTGTTTTCTTGCTTGAGAAATTGTCTGATCACCTAGCTGATTGTACATATAGTTAAGTCTGAACTATATAACAGAAAAAAACAGAAAGCATACCATTATTAAACTTGTTTTAAAAGGGACAGGCAGGACAGCATACGGAAATTTTCACCTCTGTAAGAGTTATCTTGACTTCCATAAGAGTTCTTAGCAGAACTAATAAATTGGTATAAATGCGGTTTTTGCAGCAAATTTAAAAAGAAATTAAGGACTATATTCCAGCATGTCGGTAGAAGGTCATCAGAAACAAAACTGAGAAAACCTCATTGCCTCTTTTACGTAAAACACACTGTTTCCAACTTATAATCTCAGTTTTTACAGGACAAACTCCACAAAACCATCAACAGGACAGAATGAGGCTCACTCATGCTAACTTCCAGGATGTGGACCACATCAGCAAGACATTCTCTCAGTTACCAACAGATGCTTTGTTAATAAAACTTGCATATACAAATGTCCGCAAAATGTCTTAACAAGATTAGTTGCGACAGCTAAAGATAACGGTTGCCATCATGCTACGTCATGTCAAATTACTGCAGAGAGATATTGTTTTTTTTTCACGTTGTTAACTCAAGAACATTGACTACAAACAAATATACTTATCTACAGAGGAACTCAAATGCAAGATATTTTGCACCACTTCTACAGAAGAGCAGTGACTTTGAGGACCAGATAGGAAAATAATTTTGAACAGCTGGAAATTATAATTGCAGTGTAACCAAGTAAAGTCAAACACTGTTTCCTAGAGTCAGCCAAAAGCCAAACCACAGACTTACCTTAAGATACAGAAGCAGCTCTTGGTCCCAGAAGATAAGCGACAGAATCCAAACCTCTGTTTGCTGTCAATGTCTGTAAGCACAAACGTAAAGTTCTGGCCAACTTGGCTAACTGCATGGCTGAAAATAAAGAGAATAAAAAGGAAAAATTAATGCTGAGCTAACTCAGTGTCACAAGTATCTAATCTAACTAAGTCATTGAACCTATAACATTTCCTCTTTCAGCAGAGTTTTTTTTTTGAGAAATTAACTTTGAGATTATACACCCTTAGAAACTTAAATACGCGAAGGGGTTGGAGGAAGTTTCTTATTTTTTAAGTGTGGGAGGACATTAAAAAAATACACTTATCTTTAAATAAAAACTGATATGACTATCAAGTATCTTCAACTTCAACTCAGTACACACTATACCAACCAAACCTGAGTTCTCTCATAATATTTCTTTATTATTCTTTGTTCAGGAATTTACTTCAAGAGCAAGATAACGTTTAGTAATATGTTCAGGTTTTATAATATTTGTATATTGATTTGTACAAGCAATATATTCATTTATCAGTTTTGCACGTATGCTGAATACAATATCACTTTAAAATGTTCAGTAACTGGAACCATTCCAGAAGACTCTCCTTTGCAGCTATGCAATAACAACCACCACAAAAAAAAAAAACATAATTCAAAAGGTCATGTTTTTAAAAAAACAAAACAAAATGCAAATACTTCTAGCAGTAAAAGCAGAAAGGTAAATACTTCTAGCAGTAAAATACTAATATGAATCACAGTCAAGCATAAAATGTTTGAAACAGCTTTTTCAAAATAAGATGCTTTACATTTAAAGCACAGCACTTTTAAAACACAATTTATTATCAGAATGAAAGACACTGTATATTTTGGACAGAGGCCTTTGATTTCTTTGAGGTATTGCCACATTTCTTTAAACCTAATCAAAAGTTTAGGTGCATTGATGGTAGATTCCATAAAAATCCAAGCCCAGTTCCACTCCAAGTTTGCAGAGATGTAATTTTACTGTTTAAAAGAAATGTTGTCATTCAGTGGTGAAGCCAGGAACAATTACTTATGAGAGAACTTTCACATTCAGGCTTTAAATCTATCTGAAACTTTAAAATGGTATGACATTAACACTATCATGAAATATTTCAGGTTATGTTCTAGTCTATTTTCAGTATACTGAAAATGGATAAAACTGGGCAGCATTTACATGTACATCTTTACAAGTCAATCTTACTCACATCAAATAAAAGAAAAAGTACATTACGTTCATGGCCACTCAACCAACACAGTCACAAGCCTTAAAAGTGAACAAATATTCTCTTCTATGACGCTATCCACAAATGCAATAAGTAATTTATGTGCAAGTTTATAAACTCACCCTAAAGAAAACACTGAAAAATAGGTACATTCAGAAACAAAATTGGGATTGAGATCAAAAAGATTCTACTACCCAGCTTAGAAGCAAGAACCCTTCGATGGATTCCAAACAAGGAAGAAAAAAACACTGCGGGAATGGAGACCAAGAATTTCTCCAGACTCGCAGATGAACAAAAAGACAGAAATTTAGAAGCTTTTCAATAGCCTGAGAATTAGACAGTTTAAGTACTATCATCCTACCCAATGCTAAATGTCAATAGAGCAAACATTTCTATAAACCATTCAGAGCTGCTGGGGGATGCCAAAAAATCCCTTACTGGTGTTACATTTTATCTGTAAAGCTTAGATGCAATGTTACTATGGCGATTTAGTACGGTGTTTTAAAAGGGGATTATATGCTTAATTTTAACAAGGTTGAGAGCAGTGCGTGTGTGATAAATAGCATTCTAGTTGACAATTGACATTATGGAACACGGGGGAAAAAAACACTTCATTTACAGCAGAGAGAAGCTTGTTTATTAAATGATTGTGACAAGTTGATAAGTTCCTCCAAAGCAAACTTAAGATTCTTGCATTTACGTATGCACAAACTAAACATTCCTGATAGGTCTTGCCTAAGTTTGAGTTGCCATCTCTTCATATGGTAAACTAACCTATTCATTTACTATTTTGGTTGAAAAAAGACAGATTTCTTATGCGCACACTAACCAAAGCAGTTTTGTAAGACCTACTGGGGAAAAGAGGGGAACAATATATTTTGAAACAGTCATTCCTTGCAATATTTACTGACTAAAATATTTTAAAGGAAAAAAAATAGGAGCTATTTTATCCATTACTGAAGAAAATTTATAACTAGGCACTGCCACTGTAAGGTGGCAAAAAATCCCCCCCCACACCCGAAACCCTGAAACCACAGAAGTTGAAAAGAATTCTTAAGGAATTAAGAAGTCTGTGTAGGTTTAACACTAGACGTGAAAAACTATTTACAGGTCTGTAGAGAAGAATCCCATGTTTGATATAGTTTGGCATTCCAACTGTAGTGACACATCTCAGAATTTGAATATCATCATAAAAAATAAAAAAGCAAGGAAAATAACGCTTTATGTAAAATAAATAAGCTGCCCTATTTGTGTCTTAATCCCTAAGAGAAGAAACTTTCAGCATCTATCCCTTTGTATTAGATTATGAATGACACCTAAATCATACGTGTCCAAGAAACATCTGGGAAAAAAAAGGTGGGGGAAGGCACCTTCCTTGTTATGCTTGTCCTCAAGTGCTGCAGAACATCCAGACCACTGGGAGGGTCCCAGTTAGCTCCAATAAACATTCAGAGAGAACAAGGCAAACTTTCCACCATTAAATGTGCTTTTTCCTAAAATCCAAAGAAGATCCATAGCTCTCTCTTCAAATGAGAAGAAATTCTATTTAGAGCCTAGCAGGATGGAAGCACCGTAAGTCTCTTCTCTAAATGTGCAGATACAAGGTGGGGCTTGGGGGAGGGGGAGAGAAGTAAGATCTTCAAAATCTCCCATCAATAGCTATATCTGACAGTAATACAAATTAATCCAGGCCTGAAATTTGATTAAGTTGTTCCCTCCTGCAGCTGGAGAATAGCTCTGCCTTGGTCCTATGGCCATAAAACTAGGGTAACTCTTGGTTCACTCTGCTCTCAGTAAGGTATGTACAGGAGCTTCGGATGTACTTTACTTCAAGGAAAATGTAATTAGATGATGGTGGGTTTTGATCACTTCTCTGACATGGAAAATTTATCTGATTAAAATATCTTTATGAAGATAAACAAGAACAAAATAAAAAAAAAAAACACAAATATTTTTCCTCATTTTAAATGGATTCTGATGTCTGTCCCTCAAGTCTGAGGCGCACTTCAAAGACCATTTCTGAAGCAGTTCATCCTGTCTGCAAGAATACTTCTTCATCTGGGAGAATCTGATACAAGTCCTCTCACCATTTGCTAATTGACAAAACTGGTAACTCAACAAACATCAAATTTAAAGTTGTTGTAGACTTCAGCTTATACTAAACATCAGCAATGTAAGTACATAAAATCAACTTAAATTGAGTACTCACAGCTGCTATAATTCACAATGAACATTGCCAGTGGGGCACATTTGATAGGTTAATGGCCTATTACCAGTACCTCTTAGTTAAATCCTACCACGCGGGGGGAAGGATGAGCTACTTCCATCAAGCTCAGTGAACTCTACCAATCTTACTACTGTACCTGCCTTATATTGTTCCCCCTCCTTTGAAGAAAGATTTTACATAAATCTTGAAAATAGTTTAAGTTTTTGAACATAAATTCGAGGCTTTTCTCTAGTGCATCTACAGCATTCATGCATTTTTTCAACATAAAAAGAATCAGAGTGTCTCAGTTAGTGCCAAAACCCTCAGCATGGAGAACGATTAGATATACAGGAGATGATCCTTCAAACGTCTTGATTTGTCTCAAAATCTTCACGTTATCGTCATTTGAGGCTGTGATCTGGTGAAAGCCAGAGTACTGCTTCAGCTTTCGCTACCCTATTTTATGAAACCTGCAGACATGGGAGAGACACATATGAAGCCTTACACGCTTTCTCAGCATTTGTTGACGTTAAACAATGGTTCTTCTTCAAAGTCAGAAGACTGAACTGAAGCATCACCAAGAAGTTTCCACTGAAAACCTGGCGAGCCACTGCACGTAACACAGAATTTGGCTATGTAAATTAAACTTTCCTAAGTACTGCACTGCCAAGGAACGGTATAAATTGGGGACATCACTTAAGCCGGACTTAAAAACTTATGTTCTATAACAGTTAATAGTACTTTGTTCTGTCAGTTAGTGAAAAAAAAAAAAAGTAGTTTCAATTCCTCAGTAGCTAAGCACTTCTCATCACTTATACCAGTATCTCTTCTTCGTAATTCAGACTGATGATCATTTTTCCAGAGATTCTGGAGAGACATCCTATACAGAGTATTATTCCCACAGCAGTTATTATCCTATGATCTTACGTTATGTGAACAACGAGAAAGTAAAGTATCTCCACTATTGCATTAAGAATAATAATTTTAAAACCTCTCAATATTACAGAGAGATTCTAGTATTAAAATTGTTAAAGCTAACAAGGTAAAATAAAAATCCAGTTAACTGAAAATAGTACCTAAATATTCACAGTGCCTTTACTGAAACCAGTTCAATGTCTGTCTCTTCTTTTACAGAGTGAACAAAACACAATATAAAAAACAACTCGCCTCGAGGACTAAGCATGACAGTAGCTGGAAACGTGATCCAACATACTGCTCTTCAGGCACATACAGTGGGTTAAAATCCCAATGGAGAGTGCTAATCTGCTCTGTAAGTCACAACTGTACAACTTTTCTGACATATAACTAAAGAAAATATTTCTTCTAGAAGTAAATTCTTTCAATCTCACAGCAGAAAACAAAATATTTACTGAGAATACTGGGGAAATTAAAGCACCGTCTGAGGTCACTTCATTATGGGGCTAGCTGTTCAACATTTCCAATAACTATTTTAAATATTATAAGAAATGCATAAACAAATAATGAGTAGTAGGATGACAGTAAATAAAGAAAAGGTCAGGTAGTCCAAATTTGTCATTTACTTAGTTATTTTTCCATCTAGCAGAAGAGAAGTAGCACACGTCTCTCTCAGCTGCCACATCCTTAACTTTGGACATCCTTTACATTGTGGAATATTGAAAGTCTCAATTTTAAATTATTAAGTATGCTACAGGGTACAATCTCCCATCAGCATTGAAAAATGGTTGGCTTATAGTCTTTTGGGTTCCAGCTTCTGATATTCAGTCAGAGAATTCCAGGAATGGGATTCACTTTTCAGTATGTTCTCATTTGCACTCCATACAGGTTTTCAACATTCCCATCTTTCAAAATGTTATAATGTTAAATGCTTTGCTGGGGGAAAAATAAAACAAAAACAAAAACAATCCTAGATAAAATAAACCTACACAAAGTAAGCACAAATGTTTCTATTACAAAGGAAACTGCCTTTAAACACATATGCGAGAAAAAAATATGCTTCTATTACCCCCTTCCCTCCCCTTAAAGAAGGGGAAAAAAAGATCAACAAAACTTATTTTAAAATTTCAGAAGTATTTGGTGCTTTTAAAGGTCACCTGAGTCAACAAGCACTGGTTAAGTAGCTCATGTTGACAGCCCAAGATATTCAAAGTCTCTCTTTATGTACAAATCAGGTACAGCACAGGCACTGGTAATAAAAACTGTCTCCAACAGTGCCTCAGCAACGTCTCTCAACCCTGATCTGCAGGAACCACCTGGAGGGTTGAAAGAACACATCATCTGCATGATCAGTGCAAGCTTTCAGCTCCCCCCAAACTGAGATTACTACGCAGGACGACAAAGTGTAGCAGTGGTTTTACTATGTCAACTCCTATCTCCAAGGAAGCACAATGAGATTTCATCTCCATTCACAGAAACTAGTGAAGAGTCTTTCAAGATAACTTAAAAATACCTACTCAAGGTGGCCTGTGGGATTAAAAAAACTGGTAAATAATGGCTCATATGAAAAGTGATAATTCAAATTACATATGGATGGGATTTATAAAGAAAAATAACTCTACTGAAAGTATCACAAATTCCACTGAAACAAGAAAAACACATCTGTAACAGTCCAATCACAATTATCATCAATTTTAGCAACAAAAAATATGCAGAGTGTTAGCTGCAAGACAAGTCATGCTAAACAATTAAATGATGCTGCTATGTGACAGAAAGAGCGGTGCATCCTTTTATAATTTGAATTTTGGGCTCTCCATGAAATTATCAAGAATAAAGCAAAGAAAAAACAAAACTAAAAAAAAAAAGACACCTTAATTCTGGTGTTCTCTAAACTACAAGAATTTAACATTCTCGGTGGAACACAGTTCCTATCAAATCCACTAGAAGCTACTTTATTTTCGGAAAGAAATCAGAAGCCACATTAAGTAGCCACAAGAAAACCACCAGTGTTCCAACAGGATCAAGAGGCCTTTAAATGTAAAGCATTTAATAATTCATTATTCCATCTATTCTGTCTAAATTTTGGCAATTAAGAAGTCAAACATGTATGTATACAAAGTTTTGATATTGCACATTTAATGATTATTACCCAAGCATTTTAACATTCAAATACTATGTAAAACTGAAACAAAATGCACTTTTATTACTGCCAGTGAACAGTTTAAACTTTTAAAACTTTTTTTTTTTGATGGTGCCCATAAAAACCCCAGGAAAAAGGGATACTGAGTCTATATTTTGCACTTGAGTGCTTTAAATCACAGTCAAACAGACAGAACATTAAGAATGGTATGGTTTTTATTTTCTATAGTGGTTTTATTGACAAGCTTATTTTCTTGTAAAGTTTGAAAATCTAACACTACCTGTCCACATAGAAGGGGAAACAAAACTTGGTCAAAGTCTGCAGAACTTCCTGTGGAGAGAAAAAGAGATAATTTATACATCTAATGGGACCAATAAATCTAATATTAACCACATCGCACAATTTCACAACTTAGCCCTGAAGAAATAAGAGACAGATGAAGAAATATGGGCTTTATCAATTACACGGAAGGAGTACCAGGCAGTCAATCACGTGAAATAATAAACATGATCAAACTTCATTAAAAATGAAAAATTAATCAAGATTCACACATGGGCAGGCAGCAGGAGCCATCCAGCAATTCTCCAAAGGGTAGGAGGAGGTTGGGCTGTTGAGTGTTAACACCTCTCTAGGGACAATCTCTACTCTGACCATATGGATCATAGTGAATAACACCAAACCACATGGGTTTGGCCTGGCAGGACCACTTCTGCTAGCACAGCTTTTGCCTGTTACCTAGGAACAGAGGTCTGGGGGATTAGAGAACGCTTCCTAACATCAGCAAGATAAATAACAAAAGATAAAACAAA